CAGTTTTTGTGTAGTACTAGTTTCTTATGCATCTACTGTAAAATAAACCCAATGTTACCCATACCATTGTATTAGGGGAAAATCTTCCACTAATACAATGTCCCCTCCACTCCCTTTGAAAATCAAGTTATTTCCTTAGAATTTTTTCTTATACACACAACCACAACTTATATTATTATAAAGATAATCGTGTTCATATAAACACCATAAATGAAGACTTTTTCCTCAATCCCCAGGTCTGAATGCAAACCTAGTGCAGCAAGTTCCCTGCCCTTTCAACCAATAGCCCTGCTGGTAATCTGGAATATTTACACGAACACAGCAGCACGGCGATGTGTCTAAATATGAACAAACTCCTGATAAAAGACAAAGTCTTTATCCCCGTGGATCATGGAACCAAACACATACGACCCTTCATGAACGGCTAAATACATCAACATAGGGTCTCACAGCTTGGCACTGGCAGGTCTTGCCTTCGGAAAGCACATGCAGTCATGAATAATTAAGAAGCAAAGTCTTCACATAGGATAAGAAAACTTTGCAATGAATAATAATGAGAAACTGATGCGTCATCTTTGCACTTGCAGTTTTGCGCTATGTCACCAGTTTTGATCCCGCCCCAAAAATCATTTTAAACTCAGAAAAGGAAATTAGCTGACAAAAGCTCAAAATTATCCAGTTTTCCCCACAATTAAAGCCGACAGGTGCTAACATTGTCTTAAGTGATGCTTAACACACTGATCAAATCTATTAAAGTTTCAAAAAAGTACTCCAGGGTTTCTTGAACCTTAGAGTCCCTTCCTCTAGAACTAGGATGGGTCTGTACATTGTACTTTTATTTAAAAACAAAATCCTATTTATCTTAGAGTCTTTTACAATGTGGATTGTGTCAAAGCAGCTTAACATAGATGAAGTTTTAGTTAATTGAGACTGATTCAGTTTATTCAGTTTGAGTTCAGCTTAGTTCAGTTCTCTTTAGTTTAATGTAAATATCACTGCTGAAGTTAAAAACAGGCGGCATGCTGGCTTAGTAGTTAGCACTGTTGCCTCACAGCAGGGAAGTCGCTGGATAGAGTCCCAGCTGGGTCAGTTGGCATTTCTGTGTGGAGTTTGCATGTTCTCCCTGTGTTTGTGTGGGTTTCCTCCAAGTGCTGCGGTTACCCCCACTGTCCAAAGACATGAGGCTGCGGTTACCCTCACTGTCCAAAGACATGAGGCATTGGTGAACTGAAACTGGCCGTAGTATATGTGTGTGAATGCGAAGGTGTATGGGTGTTTCCCAGTGCTGAGTTGTGACTGGAAGAGCATTCGCTGCATAAAATATATTCAGGATTCCGAAGTCGGTTGTTCATTCCACTGTTGTGACCCCTCATAAATAAAGGGACTAAGCCGAAGGAAAATTAATGAATGAATAAATGGAAGTTGAAAACACTGAAGAGCAACTTCACCGATGCGCCGATCCACTAGTATTTACAGGATGTCATGTCAATATTATTTGCGCTCTGTATATCGCGTGTGGTGAAATTGAGCACACTCCCACCAACAGAACGAAATTGTGCATCGTAATAGGGCTGGATGATCAAATCGATATCGTATTTATTAATAACGATATAAATAAAGTTTGGTATAAAGTTTCGGTATGAAGCGCTATAGTTTTATCAAAATGTGACTGCTGAGCACATGCCATGGAAGCAATGCCAATAAACTTAGGATGTAAGTTTGTTATTTCTAATGGAGGCGCGTGACTTGCACAACATAATCATTTTCATTTGAGTAAGCGTGAATAAGGCGAATTATCACCACACAGCAAGAATAATATGAAATGCCCCAATCACGTGTACTGCACAAACTCAAGCAAAGACATTTTTTGAGGTGAAAAAAATGTGGGGACAGTCGTGGCCTAAAGGTTAGAGAGTGTGACTTGTAATTCAAAGGTTGCAGGTTTGAGTTGCAGCACCGGCAGTTGTTGGTGGAAAAAATATCCACCTCAATACAACGGTTGAGGTGATTCCCTTGAGCAAGGCACAAACCCCCAACTGCTACCCGGGTGTGTTTATGAGTGTAAGTTGCTTTGATTAAAAGTGTCTGCTACATGTACGAATAAACTTGAGCATATGCCGCAGTGCTCTGCGTTTGGTGTGAACCCATCATAACAGATAAAAATGCACCCTCTCTCTCAAACACACACACATTCAGTGACATCATGTTAGTCATCGACCAACACTAATGACTTACTTTTTTTCTCAGTCACTTTGGTACATTTCTCATATCGTCCTTGACATTTACAAAACAGTGTTTGATAAATTTCTCAAAACAACTAACAAATATCATGGATTAACTGCAAAAGCCCATCTCTTACTGACAATAACTCTCAAAAATAAATATGTGTCAATAAACATGTCAGGGCCATCAGACTGACAAGTCCTCATGTGTACGAATAAGACAGTGACATTGCTTAGTCATGTTGTAAATATAACAATGTACTCTGGAGGGATGTTCTGATGTGTTGTAAATTGTAGGTTACACCTTAGAATATGTGGGAGTTTAGAGACTGGGCAAGATTCACATTTACACTTTTACTTTTTGTATTGTGTGTCATTGTGATTCATAAAGGAAAAGTAATCACTGCATAGTACAAAGAAAACAAAATAGATATGTAAACAAAGGACAATCATAGGACAGATTTAGAAAAATAAGTAAATGTAAAGAAAATATACTTGACATATTATGACAACTTGCATGCAAATCTTATGCTATGAACTAGAGCCCAAACATTGTGGGGGGTGAGGCTGTTCAACAGAGAACTATTATAATCCATATTGATCAACATAACAAAAGCAATTGATAATGTAGGAAACAGCAGAGAATTGTACATAAAATTTCCTTTGATGTACCAAAGCATTTGCAAAATGAGAATGTGTGACACAATGTGAAGAACAGGTACTTTTAACTGTAATAAAATAAAAAATGTATCATAGTGAATGAGAAGTCTGTAGTGAACTGAGAACTGTAGTATTTTTGTAACATTTGTTTTATTTTACAGTTTTTCTCTATTGGTTTGGCTCATTTCTTGAAACAAAAATCACATTCTCAAAACCACTTGGCAATTGTTCACAACAGAATTGAATTTCTCATTCATTTCATCAAATTGCAAATGTCTAAGTACATCTTTGCAAATGATTAAGTACAGATAGCTTACATTTAGCACAATTTCCAAGTGAATAGATCTAGTTGATCTAAAATGATTGTTAATTCTCAGTCTAATGGTTTTTCTCTCCAAAATGTGTCAGCGTCATTTCATTCTATATGTCATTACATGCACAATGGTCAAAATTGTCAAAATTAGTCAATTTTAGTCACCATAATACCATGAATACCATACAGTAGGTGAATCTTTGGAACATTTGATTACAATTTATTACAGCTATTTAGTCTTTTTGCTCTGATATATGATTTACTTTGTGTGTGGTTGATCATTACAATAAAAAAAGGAGTTACCATTTCCCTGGCAGTATAAGTGCAATGTGTGATGTCAAACCTTGGAGGCTACTCTTACCCTACAATCCTATTTCTTTTTTTTCAGTTTTATGAAGGACTGGGCTAAGCCTGTAAGGTGGACAAGAGGGATATTTTAGTGGTCCTTTGCCACAATGACAAAACATCTAAACATTTTGACCTGCAGTGCTTACACATTACTAAAGGGACGAAGCATTTTGGGGGCACTGACTGTTTAAATGAGAAGGAAATTTAGTTTTGACACATGAGTGAACTGTTTTGAGAAAGGAATGAGCTTTTACAAGTGAGCTATAGTGTTGTGCTAAACTGTAACACTGTTTTGCCAACTGATCTTAGAATTTTGTGAATGTAATTTCTGTTTCAAGAAACGAGCCAAACCAAATAAGAAAATCTGTGATCTAGACTAAGCATGAAAGAAAACGTCTGCTCTGATAATTATTATTTTAAGGCCACTTGACACATAAGAATCAGAATCTATCTAGCCAAAGGATTCATACCTGCACGGCTTTCCTTCTCTTACCTCCTTACCTGGCACTGTAAATACATCAGTCTCCATACCTGTTTGTCTGCTCATGTTTTATCCCTCGTCCAGCCACAGTGGATGGAAGGATGGATGGATGGACGGACGGATGGATGATGAATGAATGGATGTATAGATTGTTTGCTATGCTACTGTTTTTGACTGTTTAGTGCTAACATTGTTGTTTTATTAAAAACACACCACAACAGAGCTATGAGTATTTACCTTTAATTGCTTAAATCCCTGCATTTCAGTGTGCGCTATTTTCCCCATGACTGTAAATATGCGTGTCTCTGTTGCCTAGCATCTTCCTGCTAACAAAAACTTTGTTGGCAAAAACATGTCTTTCAAATCAACATACACAGTGCCACAAAAAAACCCTTCTCCCCTGCTTGTAAAAATGAAAGTGAGGCATGAACTTTCATGGGTGGTCTAAAGGCCTATACATTTATAGGCTGTATTACCAAAAACATCTTATTTTTAGAGTAATGACTTGACAGCTTTGAAAGTAAATATGCCCTGACAATATGACATCTTATTTGAGAACGGTCAGAATGACGACTATGGAATTACTAGTAGTTATTAAAATTTGGTAGTTCCAGTGTTAATTGAAGAGATAATAAACTATTATGGCTTAGAACAATGTTTTGTGGCAAGTAGATATCCCTGTAATAAGTGGCATTAAGTATAAAGTATATCTAGGTGTTTGTTTTCACAGAATACACACTCTTCACTCTTATACAACAGCATTCTGCTTCGTGCTGGGATGCTAATAGGCCTATCAAGTGTACTGAATGTACTTCATCCACTACATAACACGCAATGTTTTTCAATATTATTGTTTCACTAAAATACCACAATCAAGCATGCTGCATACCACACAAGTGTCCTAACAGAATGCAAACTACAGGCAGACAAATGAAAGTCAGTCTTGATCTTAAATTAAGACTAAGGGGTATCTGACCTGTACTGGGCTTGGAAGTGCTCCTGTACAAAACTGTGTCGAGTTCCGGGCTGCTGTGAGTTTGCTGGGCCAGGGCATGAACTCTCCTCCAATCCCACAGAACCCTGAGAGGTGCAAGCAGAAACAGTGAATGGAACATATATTAGCCATTTTTAGGTTTTGAGTGTATATCTCCAGTTTACACAGAACAAAAAAAAATATCAGGTTAAACATTGTAAAAATTGCAAACTTGAAATATCATGCATTGGCCAGTAATTTAAAATCATTTTATAATAAACATTGTAACACCTAAAAATGGTAAACTTTGTTTGCATGGGAGTGTTTTCTTTTTTTTTTTTGTCATAATAAATTAAATAAATAAGCCTTACTTATAATATCAAAATGATCAACTAATTTACTTTATTGTATTCATAATTTACTTTAATTGTACTTTCTAGAAAAAGTGAGGGTACGATTAAATGTGATTTAATCACCCTATAACTGAAGCCTAACACAATAACTGATGATGCATACATAATTGATGGACATAATTGATAACACTAAAGTCAGCTACAATGTGGCTCATAACGGAAGCTATAGGTGACCCATTATTTAAAAACAGAATTTACGTTACATCTTCAAAGCTTTTGAAAAGAAAAAACATGGCATACATTAGTTGTTTAAATTTATAGGTTATTTATTTAGTATCTGTACTGTATATGACATGGGCCTGTTGGTTAGAACATTTCTGCATTGGTTTGCATGTGTCAAATTGTAAAAGTACACTTTTCAAAAAATAAATAATATCCTACTTGCAATAATAATAATAATAACGATAATAATCATCATCATCATCATCATCATCTTTATCATTGTTATTAAAGTAGGATTTGTTTTCATTTTCTAATAAATAATAAATATTAAATTTAATTTCTTAATAAAAAGCCTCATTATTTATTATGATTTATATATAACATTAGAATACATGTTAGCTATTTAAATTAATTTTATGTTAATTTAGAATGGACTATGAAATATTGTCAATAATATTTCTAAAGGAAACACAGGCCTTGTATGTGCCATTTACATAAAATTGAATTAATATGGAAAACGAGTGCATTTTGTTCATCAAGACTAATATTGGATTTAAAAATATTGGATTTATTATTTGTTTTGTTGCGTTTAAAACAATATAACTTGAACAAAGAATTCATGGGGTTCATTTCTAGAAGTTGTTACCACCCCGTTTAGAGCATCATTATGGACGTTTAACGTGGTTCAAATGATGGAACAGCGACAGAGAAACTAGGGGTTTTGGGAAACACTCATCACTACAAACGATGCATTGTATTATGATAGTTCAGCTGTGAGTTACCTCATTGTTTGGGAAACGCACCACAGGATAGGAACTGACTATTTCAATGCACATCCAAAATTGTGGGGTTAAACATGTCAAGAGAATACAAAATTTCTCCATCTCGAAAGAGGGGGTAATGACTGGCCAGGGACTGGCCCTAACAACTCCATTCATAGTGAGAGGCACATAACCCTTTTCAAGAAGTAAGATGAAATATATTTAAGAGGAAATATTTTCTGTGAAAAAATCTCATATAGTGAAATAGAATAAGAGATGGAGAGAGATCGAGCATAACTTTTAATCTGGCTTTGGGCTCTTTCCTTATTCATATCAGATGAATTGTCAAGCTTTCGGTGCACACTTGAAATAGTACTTTCTCAAACTGGGTCAAAAGCCACTTAGCTGGACTTCAGAACAAAGAATAGATGCCTCACTGAACAAACTGGCCAGTATTTCACTCTCTCTTTCTCTCTCTCTCTTTCAAAACATTTTACCAAAAATATGTTTGATGTAGATAATGTGCCGATAGTGAGGGTCCACATTTAACTTTCTAAAAATAAAACACAAATGGTGTATAACACAAATGTTGGAGCATGCTGTTCACAGTCAGACAAGGCAACTAATAATGTCTAAAGCATATTATGAAAATTCTCAAATTCCATAATATCATCTAATTTCCATTCTTTGGCAGCATTTTTATAAAATCAGAACTGATTAAAATGTTTGTTGACACAAAATACAGCAAAAAATCTATTTGACTTCAGATGGACAGAATGCAGAGTGAACTGGTCTGCTGTTACAGAAATCCTTTAACAGTATTCATTCATTCATTCATTTTCTTTTCGGCTTAGTCCCTTTATTAATCTGGTGTCACCACAGCGGAATCAACCACCAACTTATCCAGCATATTTTTTATGCAGCACATGCCTTTCCAACTGCCACCCATTACTGGGAAACACCTATACACTCCCATTCACACATACACTAGACAATTGAGCCTACCCAATTCAAATATAGCGCATGTCTTAGGACTTATGGGGGAACCCGGAGCAACCAAAGGAAACCCACACCAACACCGGTAGAACATGCAAACTTCGCACAGAAATGCCAACTGACCTAGCCGAGGCTCAAACCAGTGACTTTCTTGCTGTTAGGTGGCAGTGCTACCGTCTGTGCCACCGTGTTGCTCAAGATAACAGTATGCCAAAAAACATTTTTCATGTTTTTATAGCTCTAATATAAATGTGCAACTCATGTCCATGTAGCTACTGTTATCTCATCACATAACTTGGGAAGAGGTTTAAATGAATTATTGCCTTTAAAGAGAACCAAGGTCAAACAGATACCCATCACTAGCAGCATCAGCACTACAATAGATACCGCTAGACCACACAGATACTCATGGGTATTAGATATCAGAATGTTTCATTCAGCAGACAAACTCCAGCCCATGCAAGGACTTGCCCTTGCAGAGGAACTGCTGTTGTTAACATTGACTGTCCTCTAGTGAAAATCAATGTTTTTCTTAAATCATTTCTGATTGAGGTAAGATTAGGTGAGAATGAGTATTTCATATATAAAGGCTGTTGTTACTTTCTGCTGTGAGCTGTTCAATGGACAATGAAATGCAAAGAACTGGGGAAAGAAATGTGGAGAAATGGAAAAGAGTTGTGAGCAAGTGGTGGAAAAAAAGTGAAGATGCAAGGAAAGAAATTTAAAGAAAGAGGGGTTGTGAGGACAAAAAACTACTGAGCTAATAGGAAGCAAAGGAATAAGGACAGGATGAGTTGTGTAGGGGTGAAGGATTATGAAGAACAAAGAACTTGTTCCACTGTGGAAAGTTGTGGAAAAGTAGTGGAAGGAAACAGGGAACGGTGGAAAAAAGCTAAGGGAAACTGTATAATTACTATAGAAATTGGGGAAATTGGGGAAGGATACAAGTTGTGTAAAGCCAGGGACACACCAAGTCGACGACAAAGAGCAAAGATGTTGTCACTTTACATAGGCTAGTCCCAGCTGGAACAAGAAACTGGTGAACACACCAAACGGGGGACAATTCTCTAAAACCAGAATGTGTGTTCTGCATCTGCGTGAGAGAATGTACGGTTTATTTGTCCACATGTCCAAATGTGGCAGTAGTTTGCATTGTAAATACACAAAGGGAAACCAGAACTAGTGCTGCATACATACAAACTACACAAACCAGCATTTATTTTCCATTTTTACAGCACTTCTCACTCACCACAGAGGAATTCACATGTGCTAATATTTTAGATAATCTCATGATCCATTCATTTTTTCATTTTCCTTCGGCTTTTCCCTTTATTCATCAGGAGTCACCACAGTGAAAAGAACCACCAACTTATCCAGCATGTGTTTTACACAATGAATGCCTTTTTTCAACTGCAACCCAGTACTGGGAAACAGCCATACACACTCATTCACACACATACACTATGGTCAATTTAGTTCAATTCACTAATACCTGCATGTCTTTGGATTGTGAGGGAAACCGGAGCACCTGAAGGAAACCTACATGAACACGAGCAGAACATGCAAGTTCCACACAGAAATGCCAACTGACCCAGCCAGGACTCGAACCAGTGACCTTCTTGCTGTGAGGCGACAGTGCTAACCACCATGTCGCCCCCTGATTGTTCATATCATTTGCAAATATTTAATAAAAGTGACAGAATGACAGCCATCTTATTTGTGTTCCCTCTTGACTTGCATCATTTTTTTCACTTCAACTTTTGTTCTCACGTTCTGATTCGGCCTACACCAATCCAACATGCTGAATTAAACATCAAACTCCCCTGATGTGAGAGCGGAAAGAGGCGATGTGCAGAACAAATGACACAAACTAGCCTATGTGAAGCGATCACCAGCGGTCTGACACTGCCTAAAGGCCGACTGTCAACTTAGTGTGTCCCGGCCTTAAAGTGGGATAAGGGAACTGTGGGAAGAGTATAAGGCCCAATCCCAATTCTATTTTTGTACCTAACCCCTTCTCCTTGGCCCTTGAAACACAGTGTGAAGAGAAAGGGCTTTAAAATTGACTCCTAAAAAAAATGGAACACCAGTTCAACACCTGCACACGTCATCACATGCCATCTCAATCTCTAGCTTCAAATGAGATCAACAATCGCGACTGCTGTAGTGATTCCAGTTGTGTTATTTTTTGTTGTTTATTTTATGGAAATCACAGAAGGCAACAATATCATGTTATCATAACGATTTGGCGTAGCAATAAGATCTTAACTGTACTGAGTATTTACACAGTGACCATATTCATCTATGTAAACACAGGAAAACAACATTAACATTATATCAGACACTGTAAAAAGCCCATTCCAAGCCACTAAACTTTTTTGATAAGGTATTTGAGTTTCATCGAGTGTCAGAAGTGAAAGTATGTTGTGGGACTACTATACAGGAGTTATTATTAGGCATTATAGATAGCAAAATATGGCGTTTTTTATTTTAGCGCTTTTTTAAGCATGATTGTAACACACAAACACTATAATGAATGTATTAAACATATGCTTGTTTGTTGTAAAAATTCGTAATAATGACAAAAAAATATCAATTTGTGCATCTCTTTACTTTCGTGTGCAGCCGTTGTAGCTGATGTATTCATGCGAAAATTGCATACCCTTTGGTTTTGAGTGTGGTCCTTAAAAATCTCAGTTTCAAGGGCTATCTAGCCCTTCCCCTTAGCCCTATGCCTTCAAGCTAAAAAGAATTGAGACACCCTTACACCTTCAC